TTATTACTAATGTTAATATTATAAGTTTTTATACATGCCTACATGATAACCAGAGTGGACTAATGCATAAGCTGAAGTAAATAGATAAAAAGTTTCCCTAAGTACATGCCTAGGGTCAGTACTAGGGGCAGAACATTTTTGTTTAAACAATTCATTAGATAATGAATTAGTTACTTCATTAGTAATAAAAGGTGTGAATACTGAAATTTAAAGTTTTAAAAATTATGGTTTCTGTTTATATTATTTCAGATTATGTATGTTCAATATTTTAATATTATTTGGGGGTCTCATTGTCTGGTCCTGCTTAGGACTACTTATGCTCTTAATCCAGCCCTGACCACAACTTTAGAAATTTCATTTTAAAATGTTTGAAAAAATGAGCATATATACATGTCTTTTGTGGCTATGTCAACATGCTCTCATTCCCAAAATTTATTACTGTTACTACTCCTTCAAAATACATCACAACTTAACTTATATCTGAATTTGAAAAACTCTAAGAATTACCTAGTTAACAAATATTTAATATTTGAATTATGATATTTTTAGCAATGTTTAGAAATATATTCAATTCAACCCTTCATTTAACTTCAATTTTATTATTTTCCTATTAGGTATCACAGTTTTAAATCTTTCAGATTATTCTCTATTTTTCACTAAAATAGAATTATCCACCTTTCAGACAAACAATTTTTGTTTTGATTAGTTTTTGCTGTAGTTGCCAGTGCAGGACTGGATTCATAATTTGGGGGACCTTGAAATTGATCAAACTAGGGAGCTCTCTAATAAATTTGAAATATTGAACATAACATCACAACATACAAGAAAATAATATTTTAATATTATAATAACAAATAAAAGAATATTAAGTAATATCAAAGGAATTTAAATAATAGTAGTAGTAAGGCAAGAAAGTAATTTAATCAAAATATGTCCACAAGCAATTTTAAATAATTTTCATCTACATTCTTGTAAGGCAAAAAGTGTATTAGGTCATCTAAACGTGTTCAGCATCAGATTCAGCAATGCATCAGAATCTATGCTCAATAATGAAATATTTAACATCTCCTGAAGAGTGCTAACCTTTAAGGGAATTTTTATTCTTGTTAATTGAGAAAATGGATGTTTTATAAGTAATCATGAGAGTTAGAAAAATACGCATTGCAATTTCCTCATTTGGAAACACAAACTAAATAAATTCTATTTTTTACAGTGGTGTAACACTCAAAGTGGATTTTGGATTTTTCATATTTAGAAAAAATATGTTTTTGGTCAAAATCTAAGCTGATGGTCTGTTGGCCCAAGAAACAACTGCTCAAGAAATCAAGTTGTAGGATTTGTAATAATGTAAATTTTACAATCAAAGGCTGATAACTGTCTTTTTTAACGAAGCATACTTTGATAAATAACTGGCTTTCCATGTTTTACCATAATTTTTAATCTTTTAAACAAAGCAACTAAAAAAAGGCACTCTAAAATTCTCACAAATAAAATTTCAAATTAAATAAACTTTAAAAATCATTAAAAGTACACAAATAGATTTACAGATGCAAGATTATCAGACATAAAATAATAAAAAATTGATTTAATAGGAATTATACACATGACAATGCAACTGAGAAAACAAGAAGATAAAGAACAAATGGTAAAAGTAATGGTAATACAAATAAATTAAAACACTCTCCCTCAGAATCTGTCTCGTTGACCATTCACATCAGACCAATATTTCTAAGCAGTATTTTGTACACTAGAAATACAAAAACACATCCACTGACCACTGACAGCTGGCCATTGTTAAAATAAAAATTGGTTGACAAATGAGAGAACTAATATCTCTTGGCTTGAAGGTGAATTTGAGTTCATTTTCATAGGAACACGTCAAGAATTATATCATCATAAACCTTAACAAAATAAGATTCATTACAAGAAGAAAGCAAAAAAAGTCAGTTACCTTTGTCATTCCTTTTATCAAAACTTCCATATTAACTATCTTCAAAAGGAGGTGATTATACAATTTGTCATGTATTTATTTTCTTTTATTTTAATATTTGTTCAGTTACCCCTTTTGCATATGTACTTTGATTTAAAAGACTTTTCCTTTGCTTTAAAGGGTATAATCTCCTGGAGACACCATGACAATTTAATAATGTTCTGTCTATGAGTTCTGAAGATATAGTATTAAATATGAAGTGTTGCAACATGTGCAAAGAGTGCACAAACTATACACAGGAATATTAAACAATAAATTACTCTGAATGACTCAATTTGTCACCTTGCGAATTGCAGAGGAATATTTGAACTTTAGGTGTAATTTATAAGAGGCTCCTAATAACATTTTCAAAATTTTCTCAAAAACAGCTTCAAATTTTTCTTTAAATTTGTTACCAAGTAGACAACAAAGCATTCATGAAACAAAAAATCTGGTTTTCATTAAAATCACTGCTAATAAAATGAGGACAAGAAACAAAAATATGTGGTTACATCAACCTGGAAAAAATTTGCAGATGAGGACAAAACCCATGGAGGATTGAAGACCCATGGAACCCAAAGGAAGAAAGTTAAAATTATATTTGGATCTTATCCCTTATTGTACCAAACATAAATGAATTGTCTTACATCCACAAGAACATTACAAACGCCAACATGGACCAGCAAGCGAAATGGCATTTTTTTTATGACATCAAACTTTTGGGGCAAGTTGATCTTTCACTATGCATGACCAATTTCAGGGCAAGGCTCTGACCTTTGAGATTAGCATAAAACATCCTTGGATCTGCCTAATACATTTTATACCAAAATATATTTTTTCATTATTTAAAGCTGGAGTTGTGCTATGGACTATAATTTTGCATCTACACGTTTTCTACGTGTAATCTTCAGTAGACTGCATAGATAATGTAATCTATCACATAATCCAGGTTAATAAAGGTTATAATGTGTAGTAATAGTAGTAGCACTTGAGTGTGAGTAATAGTAGTGAAACTTTATTACCGAATCTGCAAGTCAAATGAAGTACATAAACATATTACAGATTATTCATCAACCATATTTGCAGACCTCTTAAGTCTTAAAAAAGGAAGGCAAAGCATCTAATAATTATTATAATGCAAAATGTAAAAAGGAAATGTAAAGATGAGAAGATGAAAAGATAGATCAAAAGAAGATGAAAATTAACCTTTGTGAATGATAAGTAAAATAAATTTTTACAAAAATAATCAATAAGGACTGTTATATAATATGGAACTTGACACAGAGCATTACTTGACTACGTACTTATGCTATTTAAAAAAATACTGATAGATAGGCCTTGAGCAGAAGTTCAGAAAAACCAAGACTCCATAAGTACACGCAGGGCTTGATTTCAGAAGGAATGGACCAGAACGGCACTCCCGTACCTTTTCGCAAATGGAATGGTACAGAAAAAAGCATTGGGCCAACAGATACTTTATTACTTTGATTTTTAGATGAACACACTGAAATGATTACAAAACATATGTATAAACACATTTACATTCTGAAAAGCTTTAAAAATTCTTTGAAGGATAAATGTAATTTTGCGTTCTTCTTATTATGTCAATATATGAGTAATTGATAAAAGGAAACTTCTAATATGTTTGTCAGTTAATTTCTGACCTGCGAAATAAGTACAGAAATTTGGAATTGTGGAAACTTTTATAAAATGCTCACTGTTATTTTCTCAGTACATAATGTATTATACTGGAATTTAGTTAGAATAAATAAAATCAACAAACACAAATAGAACGTATGATTCATTGACCTCTATCATGTCACAATATATACAAAATAAAATTAGTAAGTTGTTGAAAAAGATAATCACTATATGAAGTTATGATTATTGACAAAATTCATTAATTTAAATTATATTTATTATAAAGGTTATTTATAATTATTAAACAATAAATTAATAAACAAAAACAATACATTTATATAAATTTTATCAATTTGTCACATGTTCAAGTACTTAAAATTTTAGAAATCAAGAACCGAGTACATGTATTATTAAATTAACAATAATATACCCTACTTAAAAATTTTTGGATAAATTTTTTCCTGATACACTAGAGATTTTTGTTTTTTGTTCAATTCTACTACATAAATATTTTTCAAATATCTCTTTTTACATAAGAATTGCGTAAACCCCTAATGTAAGATTCACAGAGAACCGGCCACAAAAGATTACCTTTGATTACCGTTGACGAGTCTTATCCCTTATCCAACGTCGCGTGATCGGTGAACGAAAGGGAAGAACGAGTGGCGTGAAGGAGGGTATCCTGTTTACGTAGTTCGAATGATAATTGGAAATTACGCGTTGCACAGGCGTAACGGATAAGACACATGGAACTTAGGGCTACCGCGATGTAGACGCACATCACAGATTAAAACGCTCAATTCTCATTTGAACAACGAAATAGAATTTCCTTGTTCCGGCCACTCGTTCTTCACTTTCGTTCACTGATCTCGTGTCTTCCAATTCACGAATATCGAGGAGATAAGGGATAAGTCCCGTATTTTCTAGTAGGACACATTATCAAAACTTCCATTGTTTTATAAGAATTGAAATTGCAAACATCCATTTTAATTCAGTTTTACAAAAATGAATTTCAAGAACACATTTATGTATCCCAAGAGCAAATATATTATAAGCATTTACACAAATAAAAACATACGCGTATTTTAAGTAAGTCCATTAATACATAGAGAATACATTCTATATTTACAATTTTTAAGAAAATCCACAAACATGTACATTATGTTTATGAAGAAATAAAATCCATTTCAATTTATATAACTTCAATTTATGTAAGTCATAAGCGGCGAAGGTGAGGAAATACTACTCAGGACTCCATGGAGGCAAAATATGGGCCTGATATCTTGTAACATTGGTGTGGCAGGTTAAGAACAAATCCCTCAGTGCCCAAATGTAATGAAATCTCCCTAATTTCATTGATCGTTCTCAAATGTTGAAGTGACTCTTCAAATATCGCGCCTAGTCTTGCTAACTCATTGGTCTCCCGCCAAGTGTTCCGTCCCTCCCTTTGAGTACAACAGCCGTTGAACGTAAGGTTACGGCTTGGCACTGACAGTGGTAGTGGTACAGCTGGTTCAGTGCGTAAGTATTGCTGTCGTAAATGGCGCACAGCTCAAGCGCAGAAATGTCCGTTTCTCCCGAGTGCAGTGTTTCTGAAGATAACGAGGTAATTACTATGGTAGATGTGCTGAAAGAGGAAGAGGAATTAGAGGACTGTACTAAGGCGCTGTTGGGTGCTTCTGATGATAAAAATTGCACTTACTCGAAGGTATGTGAATGTTCCTTGCTTTCATTGATTTAAAATATTTTATATAAAATAATTTCGTGAATAGTTATATTATTTCTTATTTTAAAGTAAAAATTAGTCATTTCGTTAGTGAAGAAAATGTGCGCTGTAAGTTTAAACACACTTTCCCTATCATTTTAGTGCTAGAAAATTTGATTTGTTTTTCTAGGGATATGTTAAACGGCAAGCATTATATGCATGTGTCACATGCATTCCTCAGGACAAAGAAAATTTGCAACCTGGTGGTGTGTGTTTGGCATGCAGTTACCATTGCCATGAAGGTCATGAGCTTATAGAACTGTACACAAAAAGGTAAAATAAATGTAATGACAGTTTAGATTTCATATATAATAAGGGACTTTATACAAATAAGTTTGGGCAGTTTTGAGTTTCCAAAAAAATTCTTGTTAATCTGTTGTTGTTTTTTCTTTCTTTTTTTTTTTTTTTCCCCCAGAAACTTTCGTTGTGATTGTGGCAATAGCAAGTTTCCTGGTCATAAATGCATCTTGGAACCAGTGAGTATTAGGTTTCTCATGAACAAACATTCACTTTATTTAGTGATAGAAATTTTGTTGAAAAAAAAAATCGGATATTTTGTATTCATTGCATTTACTCCTATTGATTTTCTATATTACTGTCTTGCAAATTTTCTGTAGAGTTGATGTTTTTTGATTTTAACAAGTGCAACTGGAAAAGTTAACATGGAACATTACATTGTAATTCTACATACGCACTCAAAAGCATAGTGGATATTGATGTTTAGATGTGCATGCTTACATGATGTGATAATGAATTTATATTGAATGAAGATATTGAAGATATTAAATGTCTATTCACACATGTTGTTTGCACTCGTGTAGTATGGCCTTATGCGTGAGTGGGTGTGTGAAATATGTGAGAGTGTTCTGATAATATATTTTGCAAATGTGCAACCTATTTATATTTAAATTTTTGATGCACTGCTTAAGCTATTTAATAAAATTGTTTAATTGTTAAAAGACAGTAATAATAAGAAACTTTTCAGCTAGAATTATAATGGGATAAGAAAAAAAGTTAATTGTAGTAACAGTAATTCTAAAAGTTACAGGGTCTGGTTTGTTTATTTTGAAATATAAGTGTTTTTGTATAAATGTTTTCGTTATAATGTATGTAATTGTAAAACTAATGAGTACTGAAATTATCTCCTTCAATTCTACTAATTGGAGGAGTGTTGAAAATCATTGTAACAATTTCTTATTGACTGTAGCATATGTTTTGTAAACTTTAATATTTGAATTTTAAGCTCATTAAGGTTTCAGAGGGCCAAGTTCTGGAAAGCCAAGAAAAGTTGTGTAAATTTGGGAAAAGTCGGTGAAATGTTGGGGACATTTTTAAAGAATCTTTAGTGACCAGAGAAATTTTTGAGAGGGTCGTAAACTATGAAATTACATAATAACATTGTACAAAGTTTATTTTTCATAAATATTAGTGGAATGTTATTTATGGCACATTTTGTGTTTCTTACACATTTTTCCCCCCACAAAAGCAGCAACAAGTAGAAAACAAGAGGTACTAAATGTGTTCAATTGAAATGTCCATATTTCTCACAATGTGTTGGTGCAAGAGAATGAGAAAACAGAAAAGGCCTCAGCGGACAAGTGTTAATATCAACAGTTTTGTTACATGGTGGCCACTGTGCGGAAAACCGGTAAAAATAAGGGAATTTGCAGAAGAACCGTTAGAAGTCGAGGAAAATTGCGAGACTTGTATAACTTGATATTATTCCTTTAAAACATTAGTTCAGCCAAAAAGAGTTACTCAATTTTTATTTATTGAGTAATTTTTACTTTCTCGCATTTACTTCGTAAGATGAGAGTATTACAATCGTACGCCGGAAAACGGCGAATTTTCGACAGAAAAACCCGCATTACCGGGCCCTAGTAATGAAAAAGTGGATAAATCTTTTTCCGATGTGTAGTAAATTACGTCGTTTTACACGTTTAGTCCAAACAGTTTTGTGGGTCCTTGATACTAAAAAATGGTTCGACAGCAAAACGTGCCTGTGGTGTACGCTAGTCCCTAATCCTACAGACTATTTTCTCCAAACTTGATGTTCCCCGATCGATCTGAACGAACTCAGGACTTTGGGAGTTTCAAACGGATATTTTGCTTTTTAAGTTCGGCTACTTTAAATGAAGCCTTAACATGATCAAAATTTTCTCAAAAATGGATCAAGGTTTTTTATTTTTTCGTTACCGCTTACGCAGGACGGAGAATGTTATGTAATGCTGCTGGAAAAAACGGCAAATTTTCGGCAGAAAGACTGATTACATGGCCCTGCTACCGAAAAAGTGGATAAATCCAGTTGCTAAATTTATAAGGGGGCGAGATAAACCCCCCCTCCCCTCGCCGGAGCGGCACGAAGTGAAGGTTTAAACGACTTAAGTTGTACCGTATATTAGACTTTGGCCGAAACCCTTAACACGTGATGTAGTAAGAATCCGTTTTGAGGGTCCTTCATACGAAAAATCGAATGACGGCAAAACGTCTATCCGTCCGTCTGACCAACGCTAGAGGCTAAACCGTTCTGACGATTTTCCCCAAATTTGATATTCCACAATCGATCTAGCTAATGCCCGTTGAAGTTGAAACGGATATTTTAATTTTGGGGGTACTTTACATGAAGCCCCTTAGGCATTTTCAAAATTTAAAAAAATGGCTTTATCGTTATGATTAAATTGTTGTTGAGGACGTGTAAGAGTATGGTGCAGTGTTTCATTGTCGTTGATAACTCTGATTTTCCGAAAATTGCAAAAATTCAATTTTTTTTCGACATCTTCGTATACAACTTAAATTATGAAGAAAAATATTTTTTTCTCTGAATGAAATGTGTTCCTGAAAGATAGATTTCGAAATAAGGTTATGTTCAATTGAGTAAAATTTGAGTACTTTCCGCGTAATTTTGCGTGATAGTATGGACGGAAAAGTACGTGCTGTTTTAACACCACTACTTTGATTTAACTTTACCCTCTGGTAGCGTAAAGGACGCTTAGAAGGGTGCAGATCTCATTTTCGTTGTAATCACGGCTTTTTCGAAAATTGTAAATGTTCAAATTTGTTTAATTGTGTGTAAGTGTTTAATGTTTCCTGTTTAATGACATTCATTTTACATGGTCATTTTTACTTTCTCAGTCGTAAAAGTAATCGGGCGCCGGAAAACGGCGAATTTTTGTCAGAAAAACTCTTACCGGCCCTGGTAATGAAAACGTGTATATACCGTGTTGCTATTTATAGTAAATTCCTTTTTTCCGAACAAGTGGTTCACCCGGAATTCGTTTTGTGGGACTTTGATACCGAAAAATTGACGGACGTCGAAACGTCTGCCCGCTCGCTCGTAAACCGCTAAACCGATTTTCTCCAAAATAGATAATCCCCGATTGATCTGAACGAATTCGAGGCTTTTGGAGTTTCAAATGGATATTTTGTTTTTGGGGAAACATTCATGAAGCTTCCAGAACTTTTTCAATAAAAAAATGGCACAATTTTTCAATTAAACTTCGTCCTCGGGTAGCGTAAAATACGCTTAAAAGAATGGCGCAGGTCCAAAGTTGAAATTTTTTTATTGCAAAAGTGCAATGTTCTTAGCCCCATTGCTGTAACTACAATATTGAAGATGGACATTTTCCCTTATAGAAATCTGTTCTTTAAAGAAAGACCATGAAATAGTCATGTTCAGTTTTTCGTAAATGTGTAGTTTTCGTGTAATTTGTGCGTGAAATATAGGTAATTTTAATTTGGTACAAACACGCGCTTACACTTAGCACCGAGAGAGGGAGAGGCACAGACGCAGGTGTAGAGATAAGCGCATTGAGACTGGCACTCACCCAGGCACAAACAGACTGGGAGATGTTCGGCCGTGCAAGTTTCAGAAAATATTGGAGTAGGCGAAGAGATACTCTACGGTCTTGTTTATTTCGCTTGTGCCTCTTCCGCTTATGTAGTAAGCCCCCTCCCTTTTTTTTTAAACCCTTCAGTGGTCGCGCACTTGAATCGGGAGTAGTCGCGTGAGTTACAATGGGAGTCCATTTGAAAAATCTTAAAGCCAGGGCCATAAAAAATTGAATTGTAATAAACCAAATTAGTATTTTATCACGTACACAGTATTTTTATGGAGTAAATATTAATTACGCTTTTTTTTCATGAATACATCTTTTTCCGAATATTCGTTTTATGCCAATTTCCATAAAACACTCGAGCCTAACGCAATTATTTCAAGATTAAATTAAAGCTAAATTAATTATTTGTGAATTTCCTTTTTGGAAAAGTATTTTTTCCGACAAGATGCATAATCATAAACAAACTTTTTCACGTTTTGAAACCGCTCGTGCCACAACAGAAGTTTCTCGCATTATTTTGTAAATTTCCAATTTTCGAAAATTAAGAGAGTAAAGTAAATTGTGACCTGCGCCATTCTTTTAAGAGTTCTTTTTTCTGTACGTCGAAAGAAAATTTAAAAAAATTGAAGTGGTTTCTGAGTTTTTTAAAAAATGTGCATGAACTTCAAGCAAGAGGAAGGAAGGACGAAAGGACGCAGACTTGTTTTGCCGTCACTATATATCTTTGGTTAGAGGAAGTAGGTTACTATAATCAGGATGTATCATCTTTTTTCTTATAGACCGGGTCCCAAAAAGAAAAACAATGTATGATAAGCTCATAGCTAAAAGTTTTTGAGAAGTTAGCCATTGTTATGAATAACGGAAACACATATAACGGTCTCCAGGTGTTGGCGTTGCGCTGCGCAATTTTTTGTACGTGTCAAAAAAACAAACAAAAAACAATAATGCTATTCGGGAATATGTCTAATCCTTATTGAATATTGTTTGTTAGATAGCCAAAGTGTCGAGGAGTTGTATGCCATACCGATATGGCGTCTCTAACTGTCCGCCATATTAAATTCTAAAATGTCTTTTTTAATGCCCTCTTGGAGTGAGTTTAAAACTAATTTTTGCCCAACGATAGGAAATTGCATTTCCTTGTGGATCACAACCATGCCATGTCGTTTATGTGACTATTGTTATGGGTTAATGTGACTCTTGTCTGCTCTTATTGCAATTTTTTTCTAATTATTGTTATCTGATGCTAGAAGGACCATGCGACCACGTATCTACCGCCCGAGTAAGTGGCAACATCGCTCCACCCCTACCCCAGCTGTCAAGTTGGCAGAAATATTATATTGACAATAAGTAGCCGCCATACCGATTCAAAGATGTTCACTATTCAAGTTGTCACTAGACCATGTATCAAAGGTACATGTATGGCGTTTTTTTGCAATGCATAAGACACCATTATATCGGGGCGCCTACTACCTATTTTTTCCTCGCAATTTTCATAAAATCATAGATAATCGCTGGAAAATAATTGTATCTTAACGTTGATAAATTAGTGGTGCTACAGAATGGCACAGACTTTCCCGTATTGGTTTTCTGTTTCCTTTGGTCTCGGCTATCTCTGCGAACTTGCCACACGAACCGGTTAGCTATTCGAACTTGCCACATATTCTTGCCTGCTGCCATCTATCGCCGCCCAAAGTACATTTTGACATTTTCTTAATTTTTTGTTTCCTAATTGTAGAGTGGAAATATGTTAAGATTATTAAAGAACTAAAACCTCGTCCTAAATGTCAATTTTATTTGAAAAATTTGGAACTTTTTAGAAAACTGGCGTTTAAGCGCTACTGTAAATTCGAAATTTGAAGCTTTTTCACAGAACTTTTGAATTTTCGAAAAACTTTTATTGGACGTCATTTGAAGCACTTTAACTCACAAATACAGTCGTGTTTATAAATTACTGGACATGTGAATATTAACGGCGTGAGAGATCTTTCAAAAAATTACTTTCGTGTAATTTGTGAAAAAACCAAAATACCCTAAAATGATCTTTACGTCGCATTAAAGAATACATCCGTTCGAAAAGTTTTAAGGAAAAAGTTTGGAGATGTTTTTGAGAAAACATCGTTACGCTAAATTGCACTAAAAAAACTCATTTTCGAAGTATTCAACATGGCCTTACTTTACGATCTGTTTTGGATGAACACATTTCATGAAGGAAAAAAGTAGATCTTTCCGCTTGTAGGAAGAGGCCGTAAAGTTTTAATCTTTAAAATTTTCGAAAAACCAGGCATTTTAACGAATATGAATCCTGCGTCATTCTCTTAAGCGTTCTGTACGCAAAGAAAATTAAAATTGCTTTCGTTTGACCCAAAATTTCGCAAAAAACTAATTTTCGGAAAATTGAGCATGCTATTATTTGAAGACCGGTTTTGATGAACACATTTCATTTAGGAACAAATGTGTATCTTCATAATTGTAGAACGACGCCGAAAAAGTGGTCAATTATTGCAATTTTCATTAAACACCATTCAACTAACATGAGACCTGCACCATTCCTTTAAGCGTTCTACGTGATCTGTCGGGACAATTTAATCAAATTTGTTGATGCCATGTTTTGATAAAGTTGTTTAAACAAAATTAAAATTGCATGTATTTCACGCAAAATTATGCGAAAAGTACTCAAATTTTCGAAAAATTGTACGTGACCTTATTTCAAAACCTATCTTTAATATTTTACCTGTAGGAAGACTCCGAAAAAATATTTTGAACTTTGCAATTTTCAAAAAATTTGTGCTTTCAGCGAACACAAGACCTGCACTGTTATGTTTGGTAAATTAATGTTTGTTTCTTTTAAAAAAGCCTCTCGAAACCGACGACCGCCGTTGCAAGGGCCACGGCCCCATTTGGGCAGACTCTCTCCCGCACCCACCTAGTCGTCCCCTCCCAGCCCCTTCCTGTTCGGTTCGTGCGTGGGCCTCGCTAAGCAGGCCCGGTCGCCTCTCCCCGGGCGATCCCATAGCTTCCTCCCAGGCAACTCCCTTTCGCAGGCTGGGCTCCGACTCCTCACTGTAGACTCCTTGGCGGTGGCCTGCTTACTGGGGACTGCTTTGCAGCGCTTGCGGGCTCTAATATACCCGGGCGTCGCCTCTGACGAAGACTCGCTCTCCAACTCAGCTCAGTTGAAGCGTGATCAGCTAGCGGCGCTGTATAGAGCGCGCGCTGCCTGGTCGCTTGCGCGCAGCCATTCTCCCTGCACCATTCTCCTCTTAAACATCCTGCACACTATCCAATAACAAAATTTAATCAAAAACGTTGGAATCATTTTTTGAAAAAATTGTAAATGCCTTAGGGTCTTCGTGTAAAATACTCTCAAAATTAAAATATCGGTTTCAAATTAAAGGGGCCGTGACATCCAGATCGATTGGGGGAATATCAATTTTGGAGAAAATAGGCTGAGCGGGTTTATCCGCTTACGTGATTTACAGACGGACGTTTTGTCGTCAATCAATTTTTCGGTATCAAGGACCCACAAAACATGGATTCTGGCTGTACTACGTGTTGGAGGAGTTCTTTTCTAAATTTAGCAACTGGGTTCATCTAAGTTTTCGTTACCAGGGTCTTGTAATAAGATATTTTTCTGCCGAAAGTTCGCATTTTTTTTCGCGCAGCATTACATAGCTTTCTCTCTAGTGCGTAAGCGGTAGCGAGAGAGTAAAAACTTGTACTGCTTTAGAGGTTTCTTTCTCTCGTTCGAGACATCCAATCGGCCCTTGCACGTTGACATTAAAATCAATCGTAAAAGTTTTTTCTCCAAAATTTCCGAATCTAGTTGGTGATGGGCTAAAGTAAAATTCGTAGTGAAAATTTTTTGCCCAACCGCTGAAGGCGTTCTAAAAAGGAAAGTGGAAAATGGTCAGTATTTTCTGTCTCTCATATCTTTCTCTCACTGTTCAAGAAAAACAAGAGTGGGTCTAGCAGCGTCGCAGAAGTAAGCCCGGGCGAACGTAATTCCTGTCAATTGCCACTGGGTGGCGCCGCAGAGGCTCGAAGGGGCTGGCTATGTCGCTTTCTGATAGGGGCGCTTTTCGAAAGATAAACAAACGGAGCAGTGGCCGATCCCGAAGTAGGTCTGGGTGGATGGGGTTCTCCTACACAAAGAATGTCGCAACTGCGCGTAGCGAATTGGAAGGAGGGGGAGGGCCGCGTTGAAGAAAGTCGAAGCCGTTTCTTACTCTTGGCATAGGTCTTAACAACACACTAAAAATTTAGGACAAGCCCTTTCTGCCACGTTGGATGTGTAAATTGACTAGGCTAGAGATCATTTCCCAATTTGTTTCCTTTCAGCCCTAGGTCTGTGTGAGGTTGGTCATACTTGCCCATTTCCAGTAGTCAAGTCTGCCAAAAATAACTTTATTGCTTTATTTTTCTGCAGGCAAAATAAACACTTGTTTGGGACCTCTAATCATGAAGGGCCTTGCGCCCTGGAAAAAGTTGTAAAATTTATGTATCAGCAAAATAATTGTTAATAAAATAGTCTTCTATTGTAAAAAGTAGTAGTTAGTAACTGGTGATATTTGTTGTTGGGGGGACCGAAGTGTGTGCATATGGATCGTGCAATACCTGAATTTGTCATGCTTGTAAATATCAGTCATGTCATTCATTGATTGTAAATGTGTAATGATGTTAAAACTGGATCAAACTGTTTGCATCATATAGTGAAGTATGGCTTCTACATTATCACCCTTTTGCAATGGAGGTGATGCATTGGAAGGTTTTGATATATTAGACGTACTCAAATTTCACTTTGGGTTTGTTGGCTATGAGGTCATTCTTGAGACAGTCTTTTCTATCATCACCTTTGATCCCTTTGCTTCAAAATAGTGTTCCTGAAACTGGATAATTGTTCAGTACAAAGACCAGTACTATTGTGATTATTCAAACTTTCTTCCGCCTCTCCATTAAATTCGTTGCATCAGAGACCATAATCAGAAGAGTCTAGAAAATAAGAATTTTATTTAGAAATATTTTTTGTGGAAGGGTATTTTCACAAAATGCAGTGCCTTCAAAGGTTTATACTTATCATTAAGTTCGTGAATTTTGTCCGTCAGAAGTAAAATTGTGTGTTGATACAAGTAATTATTTATTTTCAGAATAAAGCAAGAATCAATGATCAAAATAGCTATAATCAAAATTTTGGGGGTGTATATTGTTTGTGCAAGAGGCCGTATCCTGATCCAGAGGATGATTCTGGTGATATAATGATCCAGTGCATCGTTTGTGAAGACTGGTATCATGAAAGGGTAAGTAGGGAGAATGCATTTTGATTTTGATTTATTTATTTTCATTATTATTATTATTTATTATTATTATTTACTGAAGTCTACTTTTATTCTATATTGTATACAGTGGGTAATTGGTTAACACTAAAATGGGATTCTGAATCTGCCTATTCCTCCCATGGATGTTGTTTTGACACTTTGGCATTTTCAGCTTTTTCATTCTTGTCATGATTAACATATCCTATAATCTAACATAAAATGATTTTCCTTTACTTATTACTTTCTTCAGCTTCTTGATAATTTCTAATATTTATAAACTTTCATATTTTGAATGAAACATTTAATTTCTCAAGGGTTAAAAAATGCAAAGCACAAATACACTTGATATTACACATATATTCATGAAAGCATTGTCCTAATCTATCAGCTGAAAAATTCTCATGTGCATTTTCTGAAATATTCTCTAGATAGTATCTATTTGTGTGGAGTAGTCTTCACAATCAACTGACTCTGATCAATGATTATTGTTAATGATGATGTCTTGAAATGAAATTTAAAACTGCCTTTTGCTTAATAGATCGATCTTTATTGCTAGATGTTCTTACATTGAAATGCACTTCACGACTGAGCTCAATCTGAACTCGGAACAGAAGACACTCGCCACAGATGGCGCTGTCGGATCAGTTTTACAGTATTACCAACAGAAATATCAAAATGCTCTATGATTACTAACAAATATACCCTGTCATCATTGTATTCAGATCCTTCCAAAATCATTTATAATATTTTCCTAGGGACAAAGAACCTCAGCAAAACTGTGACATTCATGATATCTATTTTAGAACCATAATTTACAAAATTCAATTTTATACACAAATTTATTTTATGTAAAAACCTAATAATACAAATTGTATTTACGCAATAAATGCAGTTTATCACGGGTAGGATGAGCTAACTCGTCCTCGAAATCGATTCAATTTATAAATGAAAATTATATATAAATGAAATGAATGAAATAAATGAAAATGATTACCTGTGGGTGGAATAGGTAAAATGTTAAATAAAAATGAAAGTTGTATAAATCTTTTAAAAATGCTAATGCGGAATGAAGCATCCAAAAATTATGAAGTGTTGTAAAATATTATGATTCTTAAGACCAAAACTAAAATGATAAAGCAAAATTATATACTCAATCAATTTGTGTATATTATAAAGCATAGTCTGTCCAAAGACAATATTCCCTACATGAATTGATCATTAATTTATTATTGACATTCCATATAATGAAATGTATTTGTTCAGTCTGGAGATCACCATTTTTCAATAGAACGTATTCAGATGATACATTCATATAATGTCTCAACATCATGTCTCACCATGTCTCAACATGTTGATCAGTAATATTTTTTTCCTATTTGCATGCTACATATTATTTTTTAAGCATCTTCGTATAACTACAATATTGAAGAAAGGATTTCATTCAGAATATAATCTTTCTTCAAAATTAAATCTTTAAATAATGTCGTGTAAAATTAGTGTCAGAGTTTAGTTTGGAGTCAACATCACCACTGTTTCTACAGCGACTAATCAGCAGGTCCTATGGTTCAAGTCTGAATGGTGGCTGATTTTGACACTTAACTGTATTGATAGGTTGAATTCAACTGGTGTCTGGAGAAGAATTGAAGCTGCTGGCTGCTGTGATAGATAATTTTCCAATTTTTGTGTGATTTGTTTCAGCATCTGGGCAGAACAACTCCTTTGCAGCTTGAGAATGGAGAGTTGATATGTCAGCTGTGTATGAAGAAAAATGCATTTCTTTCTGTGTATGCCCTTCACACTGAGATGAAACCTGCAGGTTAGTATGTTTCAACTTCTGATCCACTTACATTATGTGATAGACTTTCAATATTTTACAGTTTTGATATATTGTTGCACATATACTCATGTTAATTTGAGTGCTTTTGCATCGCTCAAGTTGTGACTTGATTTTTGTATGAATATATTTTTAATGTTGCATGGCATCATTTAATATTGGACTTTTTACCAAGATTTTAAGGAAAGATTCTTGTTACAAAAGTTCCATCTTTCATTATATTTTTAGTTTTTGTAGCTTTTGGTAATTTTACCCCTGGTATCAATAACATGATTAATCTACATTAATAAACTGATGCATCTGTAGAGCATATACATTTACAGAGTCTTAGTTCAATTCGCAACCCATGTCTGAGAGCACTTGTTTTTCTTTTGGCAATTTGGCAACCACATGATTTTGCCATCAAGAGACGACTGTCGGGTCAAAAGCTGCAGCAACTTTACTGTTTCTGTGGTTTTCCCATTCAAGAGCTTAGGCGGGCAGGTACACAGCTCACAGAAAGGAAGCTACTCATTCTGCACAAAGTGGGTAGGGTGGGGGAGGGGTCTCTCATATAATGAGAGACTTGTATTAGTTTTTATAGTCCTCTCCTGGCACTTGTTCTGACATATGCCATTTCACTGTTAGCTTGACACACAAGTATGCTGATGTTTTCTTTTCTATCAATTTTTAAGAGGTTTTAGATGAACTGAAAGATCACTATGATTCTTTGCTCTAATAATTTGATGTGAGTGACAATATCTGTATATGTTTAAAAAAATAGTACCAAATTTTCAAAAGCAACTATAAAAATCATGTACCACATTATGTTTACAAATGAAATTGATTTATTTTACTGATGTTATGTTCCTTTGATATCCATATAATATTGTTTTTCAGTAAAATGTTTTAGTTTCAAGCATTCCATTAAATAAAATTATTCTGATAATAAATTATATTTATTTGTATTAACAGGACTGTAAACTGTGTTCAATGAATAGCACAGCAAGAAGTTCATTAATAATTGGGTTTTCTCATAATTATATACATATTAGTTGACTTTGTCGTACACTGTATGTATAATTAGACGGATTTCATTTTTTTGGCCTGCTTGGTTTTTTTTTTACATTAAATACCTATTTACATGAATTGTATACATCTATAAGTATTATACATTTTTCTATGCTTTTAGGTCATTTTTAAGAGCATTTTATTGATCATTTTTGGTGATGTTTTAGGTCATCTAATTCCGTTACTCAGTACCCAAATTAAAATTTGGTTTCAACTTGTATACTGACTTTTATGTAATCATACTGGCCTATATAAATTGTTGTGAAGAAAACTTTAGGATAAAAGGAAGATAATCAAACCATTTGCTGTTACAGATCAAGGCTGCATATTAAAGGATATGAAATCTTCCAGTGAAAATGAATCTCCTCAGGCTACTGCCTTTCCTCAAGATTGGCGCAAAAACTTATGCAAATGCGAGAGATGTATGGTAAGTGTAGTTTATCTTATCTGAAGATTTGTAGTATATAAATGGTTTACTTATTATTGGAGTGTGGATTTATATGCAATGAATCTTTGTAGAAGTGACAATTTTTTACCTAACAGGATATAAGAACTTTGAATGATTATATTATTATTTTACAGCAGTGTTTTAAATATTGAAATATGTTTTTAAAAATTTCATTGATTAAAAATAAGCTTTTACTTTTCTTGTGCCTTGGTATTGTAATGCTGTAAGTCGTTTTTCTGTTGTTTTTATTTTATGGACATTTGTGAACCTGAAGATGGGGCTGCATCAGATCATGAAAAGGTTCACGATTTTAAAAAGGTCTCGGTTACAAAGTTTTGATGTCATTAACTAATTGTGGAAACCACAAATGTGTGTCTGTGTGTAAGTGTATGTATGTGTATATGTATATTGGCAAAAAGTAGTGTTAGCTAACTGCTAAACTGTCAAGTACATTTTGGTTACATCTTCTGGTGTAGATATTTTTGAATATAATTAGTACACCCACTTCTCCCTGCAGCACATGCAGTCGATATCTGATGACCGAGTTGTTCTCCCCTCGATAACGCATCTTACAAATTTCTCAGAACACAATCTATCTCAGTACCTCTTGGTTGTAGTTTTCAGATATCGTTGCTTCATGTTCATGACAATAGGCTTTATGCTGAAGTGGTCAGAATTATCTCAACCAAATCGGGCGCCACACAGCATACCGCAGACTAGATAGTGTTGTGCAGATAAAAGCTTTCTAACGTACATCTTTTTTTTTTGTAGATAAACATTGAAGTTTGTTAAAGTTTTAAAATTTCGACGTCAGAAAATATGTTTAGAGTGTGTTTGGCTGACTGACACCCGGAAGTCAGTTTGTGAAGCAAAATCGGCTAAAATGAAGATGATGCACCTGATGTCACTGTGTGTGCTTGGACAACTTTTACTAGCGTGAGTGTCGCAGGGTTAAAATAACAATATCATTTTGAGGTATTTAATTTTACCCCTGCTAATTGATGATAAAATTACCAGGGCATCCCACAAGGGCCTTGGTCAGTAGAAACTGGAAGTATGTAAGAAAAGGTTTTTCCAGCTTTCCAGGATTTTTGATAGAATGTTTAATGTCTTAACGAAGGCAATTAAATTATCTAAACTACTATCAGCTCATTCGGTTGTTCATTGTACCTGAAAGTAAATTTTAAAAATTAAAAATTAAGGACTTCATTGAGATGTCTTCTATTGGAATAATAAGTTTGTGTCAGTGAGGTTAGTATGCGTTCTTTTTCTCTCCCAAAGTTCATGGAGCCCATTCATAAAGTATCTTTGTATGTTTGGAAAACCTAGTGGAAGTTTGGAATTTTGATATGTGTTCTCAAGAAGCAAGGTGTTTTCAGCAAATTACTATGCCAAGATAATGAATCCATACACTGGAATTAGTTGCTCTTGTATAATTCCAGGAAGAGGTCATTAGGATCTTGAATGATCAGATATATTTGCATTCTTTGCAACATTTCTAATATGCTTTCCATTTCAGTAGTGGTGGTTGTAACAACAACAACAATAACAATAATAATAATATAAATAGTAATAATGGTAATAATATAATATAATAAAATAATAATATAATAATGAAATATTAAAATAATATAATAATACTAAAGGTTTTTCTGTTGACTAGTTACATGACTGCATTAGCACTATAATACTTTTTGAGGATCATTTCTTTCTAGATGAAAAGTAGTATATTTTCCAGAGTTCAATAATGGTATTATTCTTGTCCAAGTGGCAATTTTATCTCCATCACATGAAGTATGTATTCTTCAGTGGACATCAAAAGAACATGGTGTCTTCCTCAGAGACAACCTTGGTGACAATTTCAGTGATGAAGTCAGTTATATAAATTGTAAAAGTGGAGACCTCGGTCCTGGTCCTTGAGGAACTCCACAATTAACAAATTCACCAGATAATTTATTTCCACCTTAAACTTCAAATTTCTGCCCAATCAAAAAGTATTTCATTCACCCAGGTGGATTTCCTCCAATACCAGTGAGGTCTGACTAGGAGAGAGAATTTCTATGAGAAATAGGTTTAAAGACTTTTCCAATAATACAGGTAGTTAACATCAATAGTTTTTTATCCACATTATTAGGATATCTTACAAGATTTTTATGTATTCATTTAAATATGCCCTGGCAGATAATTCTGCTGTGAATTTGGAATTAATTTTTGTGAAATATGAAGTACTAATGATATGCATTATGTCTTTCACCTAGCGATATTGATGCCAGGAATATTGGTCAGTAATCGTCTACTAGTATTTTCTCTTTTTAACTTTCTTGTACATTTAATAAACAGAAAGTTATGAAATGCTGCAACAAGTCTAACTTGAGATTTTGACAGAAATAGAAGTTTCGAGGTTTCCTCCCCGACTTTCTCTCCTTCCACAACATCAACCCCAGCCTGGTGTCCATAGTTGTCAAAGCATGGATACAGTAGTGAGCGAGATTCAGCATCTCCAACACTATGTGATTGTATTTTATTTCTTTATTTACCATCATTTAATCAGTGTCATGTCAATTGCTACAAAACCAAATTGTTCATCCCAACATAATTAACATAAATTTTTAAATTCATCAAATTTCATATAACCACCTCCAAATTCATGATAATATGGTTGAGATTAAGGTCATCTTGTCTAAATATATTTAATACAAATTAAATTATCTCCAATCAGTTGCTTAGGAATTTTTGAAGATGTTTGTGCTAAATGCCAACAACCAATACTTTTATGTCTATATGTCTTTTATGTGTAAAATCTTACAATATCTTCTTTCTCTGACATATAATCATTGAATAATACTAATGAATATTTTTCACCATAAAGTGGTATTATAGCATTGTGATGACTTATAAATGTAATATCATTCTCAAGCTTATTACACTTATTCATAAATGCTTGATATTTATCTTGTTCAAAAGATTTTGAATATACATAAATGTAATTAATTTTATCCCAATTTAACCATCCTGAACTCTTATAATTATTAATCAATAAAGATGTTTTACAAGTAGGTCCTATATTAGCACATCGTATAGAAGACGGTAATAATTTTCAATGTTTCATTTTTATTATTTCATTTTGTAATAGTATTTTTGGATCTCAAACTATTTTTTTACTCATTCACAACAGCAGAGTTCAGGGAAAAAACTGTTACTGTTTTGTGAACATTTGGGATATGTTTCGTATCTTCAAATACTAAGATCCCTTCGCTTCCCCATGCACGCTCTAGCAGGGGGAGCACTGCGTTACCTTGTGTGGCAGACTGTTACGTTCAAAATAATTGTTAAACACTAGTTGCAAAAAATCAGTTACTCAAAAACAACGCTAATCTAACATACGGCACCGTGTATATCCTTGCATTAGTCTTTTTTTACGTTTGTCTTGATAAACTGAAAAAATATACATAGTTCAATTTGAAAAAACTGTTATCTCAAATATTCCATAAAATACAATTGATAAAATAGAAATGAAAACTTGTATCAATTAGCCCCATTCCCTCGTGCACTTCTGTGAAAACTGCATTGCAATAACGTGAACCATTTTAAAGTTATAGGAGGTGCTAAAGTTATGTGACTCGCCTGTATAACAATAAACGAAATAAATTTTATAAATATTACTATTCTTTATATTAGGTATTTTCATTTGTATTTATTGTAGATCGTGACCAATCCGCAATAGACGAGTGTCAGCAATACAAAGAATTGTAGTTTGCCTATTAATTTTGTTTTTCTATTTGGGGCAGAATATTTCAAGAAAAGTGAAAGTTCAGTGTTGCCAGATAAAGAAAGAGAAATATTCGAAATGTATTTGAAATACAATTAAAACTTACAATCTAAATAAAATAAAGTGAGTCTCTTATTGATGGTGAGTTCAAATGTTACAGTATATTAAAGCACTGTAAAGAACATTCAATAACAGATTGTATTGATCACAATACCGAGACTAGGGAAGTTAGAAAAGTCTGTGTGTTAGAAAATTCTTCAACTTCCTCATTCTAGTCTTTCCTCGTTCTCGGTTGCTATCGCTCATTCTTCCGAAAACCTAATAGATTTGCATGAAGAGTGCTTGCAGAAGCTGACTGGAAACTTTGCGTCTGGCAAACATCATTTGAGCAAATGGCAAGCAACATTTGAGTGAGGTGTGTGTAATGCTCTCGTTGCAATTTCATTGCATTGCGGCTTCATGTTGATGTCTCACAGGACAAGCTGAGCTCTACAAACGGTGACCCCGACCTCGTGAACATCATTACATTGTGGACGAACCCTGGGTGTGCAGATATGACCCGGAAACCAAATCCCAGTCGTTACGGTGGAAACCTTTTAAGTCGCAAGCCCGAAGAAGGCCCGCCAAATGTGCAGCTACATCAGAGTGATGCTGACTCCCATGGTGTGGTACACCACGACTATGCACCACAAGTTCAAACAATCACCAAAGGCATATCCTTTGTCGCCTACTATACTGCGCAAGAGACCAAAGTTGTGGTCAACAGGAAATTGGCGCCTCCATCACGACAATGCTTCAGCACATTCCTCACTCTTTATTAAGACTATTTTGGCGAAGAACCAGACTCCTGTGATTCAACAGACTCCTTACTCTCCTAATTAGGCCTCCTGCGGTTTGCAGTTGCTCCCCAAACTAGTCCATTGGAAGGATCACGATTTCAGGCAAGAGGACATTATTGCTGCTACGATAGCAGAGCTAAAATCCATATCGAAATAATTTTCTTGGAATGCTTCAGACAATGGCGCCGCTGGGAAAAGTGTGTAGAGTCCCGAGGAGTTGAGAGCAATTTGGCTTCCAACGCGAGTACCTAATCGTGGGCTTCAGTATGAAACGCAATTACTGAATCAGATGTTGGTTACAACTTCATTGTTCGATATTGAAGCACCTGATTAGGCGATCGCCTCCCAGCTGATCAAAAGTCAATTCACCTCCACATTTAAATGGGAGTGAAGAGCAGGCTTGCTCCTGTGACTTCTGGCGAGGGTGTGGGTAAGCACGAGCGCTCTCCATTACTTGCGTGTTGGCTCGTGAGCCGAGAGGGGCACGTGGATAACCTTCAGAATAGTTTGGCACACTTGGTGTGCCCTGCGAGGCTATGACAAATTCCCTGTTCAGAGAAGTAGGCTTCAGTTTGTTAAAAACTGCTTTAAAGCTGCACAACAAACACGTTGATAATTTACAAAGGAACAAGACTCGAGGGTAATTTCTTGGTCAGGAGAAATATAGTCTTGCTTTTGAATGTAATTTGTTGCTAGGCAGGGGGAAAAAGTCCTCTTGTTGGGTAGAAGTTTCGTAAGTCCTTGAAATAATAATGTGGTATATAAATGAAATTTACTTCTTTGATGTCATTTCTGTAATTATTTATTTACATTTTATACAAAATTAGAAAATTTACAGTGGTAATACATGTCTTTATAAGCAAGATCGTGTAGTATTTTCATTTATCGATTGGAAAGTAGTGTATCTTTTCCTTTTAGAAAAATAATGTTATAATTTATGCTTCTTCACTTAACGAGTAATGTTTTATTTTCCATAATATTTGTGGCAAACTTGTTACTTAGTGAAAGAGAATTGTCATCTAAATCGTATCATTCATTCCCACTTTTTTAAGTGTTTATCGTTCTGGAAATTTATCATGCCTTCTTGGATAGTGTTACTGGAAATTGTTATCAAGAGTTCCATAGGCGTTGTATGGGAGTTGTGTGGTTGTGTGTCAGAGGTAGTACACGTGTGATAATAGTTTCTAAGTGCAAATCCTTTCCAGAATTTTGATTGGCTTGTTTTTCTTTGGTAACTCAATTTTTAAAATATGTTGTTCTCATTTCTTTCAGGTAGTGTACGAGTCTAATGGATTGAGCTTCCTCTTGGATGAACAGGACACTGTTCAGGCATATGAAGAGAAGGGAAAAGCAAATGGAGAAACACAATATGAACGCGGCATGAAAGCACTCTCGTCAATGGATAGAGTGCAAAGTATAGAAGCCATAAAAGGTACCTTCAACATAGCCAGATCTATAAATAAGTTCTTTAAATTAGTTAATATGTACTAATGTCCACAGAAGGAAGACCTGAGATGTTTTTAGTATTAGTTTCCAAAACCTGCCCCACTGTAATGGTAATAATCTAATGATAGAAAGGTCATTGCTGCAAAATATCGGATGTTTTCTGTGATGAATCTGGAATTATCCTCTTGGAAAGAAGGGCTATAGGATTGTGGTTGTAAGATATTGACTTCTGAAATTTCTTTGGCAGTAACCCTCTAAAAAGTTTCCAATTTATATAAAAATGAGATACACAAAGTTTCAACTCGACTGGATAACGTTAAGACCTGCCCTAATGTTAAAAGAGATTGCAACTTCTTTTCAAAAAAAAAAAAATAGTGTTTTTCACAACAAAATAAGAACTGTCTGTCCTAGGAATGTGTTCCTTCTTGAATTTATTAGAGAATGATTCATTCTTCAATTTTTTTCCTGACAAGTTATTTGATAAATGTTAATATCAAAAGTGGTATGGAATTTTCTTGGGCCACACATGGGTAATTTGTGTTACTTGGGAGAGAGAAAAATTCTCTTGGAGTTACTTGGCATCAAATAGTTTTAGTAAGATGTTTTTTAATTATGTATTTGTAACCAGATGGGTGAAAGGAATTGGAATAGAGGTAGGGGTGCAGAAAATGTGGGCATAAAATTCAATTATTTTTTACTATTGAACAATAATTAATTTAAAACAATGAACTTCACTATTTCAAAACAATTTTAAGAAATCCCATGTACTAACATCAGAACAAGTTTTATGTATAAATTTTCACAGAAATGCGTAGGTAGGTACTTTGAATTGATAAAATTTGTCACATTTTCACCAGTCAATTAAGCGGGATAGGTTTAGAGAAGGTAGATTTCATTTCGTGTTTGAGAATAATTTTCGATACTGTCTTTCTGCTCTTTATCTACTGTTATGTTCTTAGTGTAGAGTTGAATTAATTTGACACCCCTTTAAATTGTCTTTAAAAAGGCTTAAATGTTTTCCCAATCCCCTGTCCCCACAAAAAGTCAGTGTCTTCATTCCAAACATTTGGATCTAAATTTAAGAAATGACTTTGTGAATCTTTTGAACATCAAATTTTTTTGAAGTAATCAACTTGTGTCCAGAAGAGACTCAACTTCCTTCAAAGTTATTTTGGCTTTAATTACCCAATTGTGTTGTACATTTTCTTCCTCAAATTCAAAGAGCTTGTTTAGCTTAGCTCATCACGGTCATCATCACCATCACTGTTTTACAGCAATGTTAATTTAGATTTGTTAGTATAAAGTTTTATGACAAAAAAGCAAAAGAACTTGCTTTGGGTTCAAATACTACAAATTGATGATGAAAAATTGAGACAATGCCACTTTTAAATATCTATTTCAATTTTTTTCATGATTAAATTTTTAAATAATTGTAAATCGTGGTTTGCAATATGGGATCATGAATATTAAACCAAATATTGGCATAAAGATATTTACATTAATGAAGTAATTCTTCTGGTGAAATTTTCCTCAGAGCCCCTTAAAGAAAATTTATCCCTGAACATGAAGATTTTCAGGGAGTAAACAGTTTTTGGCATCCAGTATAACACCTGGTGCTCTGAAAGTACTATTTTCTGGGTCAAAAAGACATAAAAATTGCAAACAGGTGTAAAAATTCAAAATATTCTCTGGACTCTCTCATTTTGTATTTGATCTGATGACATCATTTACATCTATTTTAAGTTTGAAGTGGACCACTTAATCATCTAAACAACTTTTTTTGGCACTTGTGGGCCACTCTGATCGATCTTTTGAAACTGTCAGTTTGAGGGCCAATATTTGATTCCATTTTGCAATCAAAAACAGCCTTCAGTATTGTTTCTGGAATGGGGTAGTGACATTCCAGATATAAGGTATCTTTTTCAAATAATTGTTCAAACTAAACAATCTGTTGAAACAATCACTTTTGACAGCAGTTTGTCAAAATAAATTACTTATGTCTTTCTACTGTCCCCCCCTCTTTTTTTCCTGAAAAAAAAAAAAAACCACTATGGTCTTGATTAAATACTTCGTTGTTTTTCATTTTAAAAATGTTAAAGTTCTCTTCACAACTTCTCTTCACAACTTACCAAAACTTTCAATATCTCTATTTTCTCTTTATTTAATACAAGTGACAGCAATTTCCGATTTCAATATAGGATGGCATCTTGTATATCTCCATTTGAAAAATCTATTTTTTGATTTCTACACTTTTCTTTTGAAATTTCTATTTGTACACCTGTTCTACACCTACTGAGGTGCCAACTTCTGTGAATCTTGCCATAATGCAAAGGTCTCAGGCATTGGCTTTCTGGACAGATTTATTACCTTTTGATTCTTACTCCACTCATATCAAGGGGAATGATTTACCACGTCATCTAATCAACATGTCTATCAAACACTGTTTTCGGATGAAAATTAAGCTAGGCCCACTCTAGACTTAATAAAGAACATGTTCCTAGGACATTGTTATCCTAGGATACCTATGTTCACATTTTGTTCATCTCCTGCATCTATTCCAATTCTTTTTACCCAAGTTGAAACTTTGCTAATCTCCTTTTAACTCCAATTGGCAAATTTTTTATTAGTGCCCATCAGAGAAATTTCAGAAGTCAATTTCTTGTAACCTTTCTAAGGCCGTGTATTTGATGTTTTCTGAAAATAAATTTTCCTTTTATGGTGAATTTAAAACAACTTTTATTTGCTTATTTGTAGTTATGTATTTATAATGAATGGTTTTTTTTTTACTATCGAAAATAGTTATTGTAGTCTTCACTTCTGGGTCTGAGCATTGTATTTAAAATTATATTGAATAAATTTAACCCAAACAGTAGTTTATATAATATTTATATGTAGATGCTAAATTGTATTCTGAATGTTTCAGGGTACAATGATATGAAAAGCCAATTGATGGAGTATTTGCAGAAATTTGCTGAAAGTAAGAAGGTTGTGAGGGAAGAAGACATTAAAGAGTTTTTTAATGGAATGAATGCTCGTAAAAAGCAACGTATGGATGTTAATGTACCTTATTTTTGTCGATGATTGTTGCTGATGACTTTTTGTAATTGTGATCAATCATTGTATGTACCGAAATCTTCAATAATAATAATAATAAAATAAGAAGTTCCAAGAATCTTAATAATTCTTAGTAACAAGTGTTATTTACATGTAGATAATGACCTTGCATCTTGATAGTATTCATAAATTGTGAGACTAGGCCAATAAATTTTGAATTTTTCCCCCCAATGCAAACATTTTCAAAATGTAAATCTGGTGAAGCAGGCCAAATAAATGGCTGATAAAACATTGTAGGGAGAAAAATTTCACATTTAGTGACTCACCATCAAGATTCCTAATATCAATAATGTTCAAAAGATTGTAGTGTCTTATCTTAAGCTGGTGTGCTTGTACAGACATTGAATCAGTAAAGTCCATTGCTTTCCTCATAGTGAGTTTGGCAGACTTAGTTTAAATGACGTAACAATAATATAAACCATTTATTTCAAGTTCCATACCATAGTAAAACTATTTCTCCCTGAGATGGGATAGCATCAATTTACAAAGATCTCTAAGTTAATAAATTTATGAAGCATTCATTTTATGTAAATTGCAATTGTGTAGATGGCTAGAGGATTTTTCATCACTTCACTATCATACAAGATGAAAGTACTGCTATCAGCAAAGTAACAGTTGTAGTCATGGAAAGGAATTCAAGCCCATTATTAAATACCTCTGGAAACAATTTTTGTTGGATACTTTCTGTGATTGCACTAACACTGAAATAGTGCAAGAAATGACAACAGAACAGCACTATGTATTTTATAACATTTGAAATACAACATGTTTAATTCATGAATGTAAATCGTATACAATACTGTAAGATACTTCAGTGGAAGGAAATTGGGACCTTACAGTGTAAAGAAAGGAATGAGCTTGATAAATGTTAAATTGAATGTTGATGTTTGTAATGTTCATGTCTGAGATTCCAATGAGGGCCAGATTTCAAGACCAGGGCACCTAAGCAGATAATATATTGAGGCCTCTACTTTTTTGTAATTGATCCAAAAATGAACAAAATAATTCATATGTAACAGAATTTAAAAAAACATTTGTTAAACAAGATCAGTTTTTAAAATTTTAAGTGGTTTATACAATTTTTCTCAAATACATATTGTTTTTCTGACGTATTCTTGTATCTCAAATTCATAAACTCACCTCTGTACAATAATATACAATAATGATAATAATTCAACAGAATATTTTTATTTATCTTATTACTCACTCATCCGGGCAAGGGGCATATTATTCAGATAGTATGTGATGTTTAGTTTTAAATAGTAACTTGAATAAATTAAGTTAAATTGTTAAAATCCTTCAATATAATTCGTTCTAATAAAATTGGCTAATTTATTCACATGAAAATCAAGAAACGCTGGGTTGTCCCAGAGAAATGCTCATTTTGACACCCTCCATTCCCCCTTTTGTACTATTTCGATTAAAAAATGTTCTGCGTTCTCAAGTGTACGTATCCACCAATGCTGATGAGGCGGTGATGCCATTGAAATACACCAATTTTTAGGTTTTGATGAGAAATATTTCTGCAATATAACCCCAAATTTCCAATAGAAATTTCTCAGAAATATAGGTGTGTATTTATACAAGACATCTAAAGTATTTATTTCTGAATCTAGGGAACTAACTGTACATTTACATGGCTGGCCCAAGTTAACAATCACGATGAACCACATATAAATTTTATATTGGAAATTACTGTCAGATGTTAGTAAGGTAACGTGGACAACAAAAACAATTTACTTGGATTTGAAATATTTTTTTCAGTAGGAAAAAAGACGTATTAATACAATTTTTAAAATGGATTACAGTAGCTCATATGCGAATGTAAATCTAAGTCTCCTTGGATGTAGAGGATTCACAATTCTAATTATTTTGTCAATTCTGACTTCACAAATATCATCCACTGTTGGGAGAACATACACATTTTGACACTTCTAAATCTTTCTTAAATATTTAACTGACAGAAGTCACGTGATGTCTTCAATATTTGACTGATGAATTGCTTTTCTGTTTCATTTTACTGTCTATAAGATAGATTACAATAGCAAATCTACCTTCTGGAATATCCATCAATTGTACTTTTTCTTCTGAAGGCACATTAAAATTCTCTCTTGAGACTTCCACCTCAACTTCTGCCATCGCTCCATCAGAGAATTCATGGAAACAAGATGGGCTATCATGTAAACTGTAACTGCTGCTGCAATTGGTACTAACATCTGTCTCGAGCAAGTTATTGGTATCTTACTTTGTGTATTCTTTCTTTGACCTTTGACAATACTGGCAAAACTGCCATCATTGTCAGATTTTTGGGAAATTTTGAGCATCAAGTCCTCTACACTTTTCCCATGTATTATGGCTGATTATCAGTTCTTTCTTAAGAAAGCTGTTTCCCTTCCATGTGCCCCAATCAAAAATTCTTGGCACCCCATAGCCCACTGTTGTCCATTAGCATATCCATTTTCACCAGAGGTGGAATTTCATTTTTATGTTTTTTAAGGCTCTCCCTACAATGTCACTCTCCTTACTCGGGGAAAATGTGTGGGCAGTAAGATGTCTAAAGAACGTCTGTTTTCGTGGGTGGCAATACGGCAAGAAAAATAGAAAAACATTGTGATATGAAAATCAGCTAGACCCCGTTGCTTCAGACATCCTGATGCGAGTAAACTGCCAGTAGTTTGGATATCGGACAAAAAGGCCTGGATGACTGCTGCATTAAAGGAAGAATGGCTCAAGAGTTTCAATTCAGGCATGAAAAAAACAAAACATAAAGTGCTGCTAGTTCTTGATAACGCCCCATGCTACCCACACATTAATTTGTCTAATGTAAGATAGGCATGGTTTCCACCGAACACTACCAGCGTCACACAGCGTCACACATGGATCAAGAAGTGATCAATGTGTTCAAAAGTCATTATCGAAGACTGGTTCTACTGGCAATAGTTGCGAAAATGGGAAGTGCAAGTAGATCCTCTGAGATGGCAAAATTAATTCCAGTGTTAGATGCCGTGAACTGGATTCATTTGGCAGTACAAAAAGTAAAAGAGGACACGGTTATTACATGCGCCATTTTTGTGGGCAACAACTGTTCGCGATTGGTTTGAGGAACATTCTGGACAATTCGAGTGAATGATTTGGTCACACATATTGCCCGACATTAATCCCATCGAACATTTACGGAACATAATCGAGAGGTCAGTTGGTGCACAAAATCCTACATTGGCAACACTTTCGCATTTATCGACGGCTATTAAGACAGCATGGTTCAATGTTTCTGCAGTGGACTTGCAACGGCTTGTTGAGTTCATACCAGGTCGAATTGCTGCACTTCGTCAGGCAAAAGGAGATCCGTTATATTTGCTATGCCTAGGAGGTATGCCGTGATATTTGTTACCTCAGTGTAAGCCACCAAGTCCAGCTCATCGGTTACCTTCACTGACCCTAGTTTGCAGTTGATCCAACCTGTGACATCTCCCAGAAATTAGGGGGCTACAAAGCCAAGTATTGGGCATGAAAAATAATGATATCGAGAGGATTTCTTATGCTGCACCAGATTTCACGTTCCAAGGGCGCTGTGTATTGTGATTTTACCCCTGAACGCAGTTTATCGGCTGCGTAATTCAGAAGAAGCTCTGCTTACGGCCAACAATCACCATGCTGGACTCCGGGATTGATGAATGGGCTGGAGGATGAAACTTTACCACCTTGCACAGTTCTGTTCAAAATTTTTATATGCAAATTTCCGAGTGCTGTGACGCAGAAACGTAACTTAAGAGGGGAAGGTTGTCCTTCCCCCGAATACTTTGAGCCTTGTGGAATTTTCAAAATTATACAATGCATGTGAATAAAGTGTTATAAATAATTTTAAAAATTGGAATTTGGAACATGAATGGAATTCTATTGGAACGAATAGGAGATAAAACGAAAGACGATACTATTCCAAGTAAGAAGCGATACTATCCTAAGTAATTATCTTCAAACGTGTCTCGTAGTTGCCACGTGTGATTCAGAGTTATGGGCACGAGAGAAGCGCCTCTCGTCAACGTTGTGGGGGTCTGTTGGCCGGCACGTGGGCGGCGAGTGTTCAGCTCAAAAGGCACAGATTGATGATTCCGTGCACGTCAACTGCTGAGGTAATTATTCTCGTACGTGTAGTGCATGTTTTTATCGCGAGAATTGGCGGTGATCTTCTCCACTGGATAGCGAGATCCGGTGCTGACCTTCCCATCGGCTTGTAGGATTATCCCTTACCAGGTGTCTCCCACCAGGGGGGCTCCGCCCCAGCCCGGGCAAGTTCTAAGCTCCCGACTGGTCTCCAGGGATGTGTGGTAGTATAGTGCATGTAAGCGTAAGTGTCTGTAAGTAAAGGGTGAGGATAGGACAAGGAAGAAGGAGGAAAGATCGCGCGCGGTCCATGACCCGTTTGTTAGGATTCAGCTCCGGCATTCGTCTGGTGTTGATCGGAGAAATCATGGAAAACTACCGATCAGAACAGCCGGGCGCAAGAATTCTCCTCAAGACCTAAATATGTAGCTTGCCTCGAGAATCCTGCCACCGTCGGGACTCGAACCCTAGAGCCTCCAGATCAGAGAAATCCCTTCTATATTACAGGCCTTGGCGCTAGAGGCCATCCTTGTTTGTGACATCACGCTTACAAGGCTTGGATTCCTCTACCTTTGATGAATACTTTCTGTGTACAAAGTGGTTTGCACTGAGGTTTATTTTTATAATAATTAATTAAAGATTTACTCTCGCAGCAACAACTAGAAGAATTAACAGTTGCTTCACACCGATGATTATTTTTATGCGTGTAGTGCAACCGTTCTTTTACCATGGTCTTCAAGTGCTGTGTATTTACGTAGATAGACAATTGTACGATGGAAGCGGACCCAGGGCCTGATTTACTGCGGTGGGGACCCCTGAGCAAACATTTTCTGGACCCCCCCCCTCTTTGGTCGAAGAATCTCAGGAAAAAGTTCAAAAACACTTTAAAATTATTTATATTTTTTAATCCCTGTACAGTACAATTCCAAGTGTGCGTATGTTCGGATGTACGCTTCCGTCACTCACGCCTAGACCACTTCCCGTACACTAATCGAGACGCATGCAACGCTATTTGACGCAACTGGGTCTCCTGATGGGCAACTGAAAATTTGTTTTCGGATCCGGCCATAAGATTCAAAGAAATTTCCAAAAACCATTCTTTTTTTGTTTTGTTTTGGCGCTGCGATCTTAATGATAATGTCATAAATTAAACCAACGCCTCCTAAATAGATTTATGTAGGTGGCGTTGATTAAACACCAGTACCCAAAGGCATTTTTCGCTCAATACGGCATAATTTTCTTTCTCAATATTGCCAACACTGATGTGAACATTTTTAAATGAACAATTGAATTACCATGTGAATCGCGCTGCAGATTTTATTTCAATTTTGATTCGCTCTATCGTAATTTTAGAACTAAATTTGCGGACACCTACGAACAGTATTGCTTCGGAACGTATTCAATTTGAATTTCAAGTGAATACGGAGAAAACAAATCTGTGAGTAATGCTTGATAACGAATGAACGTTAAGTTCGACTTCTCAGTGTACTTCCTTACATTAGTGTACAAATACCGATTTTCAAATGAATGTGACCCACAACTTATCCTATTAAACTTAACTAACATCTTATTCACATACACATACAAAGCAGTCTCCTTTTCGTGTTAGATTCGCATGCAATGCTAAATTCGCATACAAGATTAATAGAGCAATTGCAGAAGTAGAAGGGAACACAAATTAGACTGAGTTTGTGAAGTTTTAATCTCTTCAAAAACCAGGGGAGAAATATATGGAAGTGTTAAAGAAAACGAGGGAAAAATCAAATGTAATTATAAATTATGTTGCGTCATAATTTTCGGAACTAAGTGGGAATGATCAGCAATTTTAGATTTAGCATTTGTGCTAAGGCAAATGTGCTATGTACATTTTTTGCATATTAGCAAAAAAGGTAAAAAAGTATCTGCAAAAATTTAACTATTAGAATCATCAAAACCTGCAAGTAATTGTTGCGGCGATTATAATTTTGGCACGGCCATTGATTGTTGGGAACTTTGGAACATTATCAGCTACGACGGGTTATTGGTATGTCCAATGTTAGATACAAAGACTGAAACAACATTATTTGAACAAAGCTTGGCATGAAAGAAATGAAGTATGAAAGACATTTTCAACACATGAAACTATTTTTAGAACAGTTTGCAGCGTCGGCGACTCCACATTTTACTAGTGTAACCATGTAATACATGCCATATAAGTAATAAGTCATGTAAGTATGTTAAAGAGGCACTTTCCTTGCCACAAAATAGTCGATCACATCGTCAAAACTTAATTCTTTCAG